TACTATTTATTGTGTGTCTAGGATGATTTTTCGTTATCTGTCTCAATTCCTTCTTATTTCTGCATTTGCTTTCCCATGATGTTTTATTTCCATGATTTTTATATCGTTTTTTATGTCATTCTACTATCTTGCGGTCGGACTTCTTCTTTGAATTGGGTCCGTCTCGTTTGCGGGTCTTCTGATGAGGACGTGTCGTATCCATTCAAGTTTTGTGATTGAATTACTCTCAATATATCACCTTATAAGGTGATCTCAGGTCCTAGGATTGCTATCATTATTTTCTTTTCAGTCTTATGAAGCTTTTTGCACGTAATTCTAGGTAATCCAGTTCTATATTTTAATTTATTCATTTCTGATTTTATTTATTGCTTTCGTTTCTTTCCTTTGTCTCTTCATTTATTTGTCTGTTCTATTAGTTTTTCTATTATTGGTTAATTGTCTTCTAGTTTAAGTATCAGTTGTCTATTTGATTAACTTACGTAGTATCTCAACGTTTGTTGGTCTTTGATACCTTTGGATACTTATCCTGGTCCATACGATAGTATCGTATTGGTCATTCTATTTTTTATTATTGGTTTAATAATATGTCATTTAAATGTAAAGATGTTATTAAACACCTTAGTGGTTTATCGAAAGTTACTTACGGCAAAACACCATTCAACCGTACCATTACTGACTCATCATATGGTGATATTTGTGCTGCGATTAGTATTAACTACCCGTATTTCTTGCCTTTGTAGACTATGAAAAGGCATTTGGATAGTATCGAGATGTGGGCCATAAAACAAGCTATTTATAATTATAGAGTAGGTTCGAGATATAGACAACTAATACAAAATATATGTGAAAACGCAACTATGATGGTACAACTAAAGAAGGATACAAATTACATCCTGATTAAGAGAGGAATTAGACAAGGGACGTAATATCTACAAAGCTTTTTAATCTAGCACTAGAATACGTCTTCAAAACTACAAATTGGTCAACATATGACATTAACGTTAATGGCAATAAGTTAAACCATATCAGATTCGCTGACGACATCGGGGTTATAGCAAGCACATTGGAGGAACTACAAACTATGGTGGAAGAACTCGCAGACAGCTCTGAATACGACTGACTTAAAATGGATATGACAAAAACAAAAACAATGGGACACAGATATGACCCCAGACGTGTAAATATAAATGGCAGTATGATAGAACAAGTAAAGAATATATCTACCTAGACCAAATTCTGAAACTTGATAAAGAGAAAGTACGAAAATCACTAGAAGAGCAAGACTGGCATGGGCAGGATGTCAAAAACTCAGTTGGATACTTAAGAATCACAAAATATCTCAATACTTAAGGAGCAAAGTTTCAACAAATGCATCCTTCCTATCATGACATGGATGTCAAATCTAGACCCTAACCAAGGTTAATGTGAATAAACTAGTCACGACAGAAAGGGCAATGGAAAGAGCAGTGTTACGTATACGACTGTCAGATAAAAATTAACGACTGGGTAAGATCAAAAACAAAAGGTCTAACTAAGTGCCAAACTCAAATGGAGCTTCACAGGTCACACTGTTAGATAAAAAGACCAACGTTGGAAAGCCACAATTCAACATTTATATAAATATGTATAAATGAAAATCGAGTTAACATCGGAGTTCATATGAAATTTAAAACAGATGCTTCGTTCACATCTTAACAGTAAAAAAGTGTTTAAGGCATTAAATACGTACGCATGTTCCTCATATAGATATTCATTTGGTATTGTTAAGTGGACCTAAACGGATATAGAAAATCTTCAGCGAAAAGTACGAACACACCTCACAAAGGCACAAAAACATCATCTGAAAGTGCAATAGAAAGAAGGAATTATGGATCCAGAGAGCCATTAGAAAAACAGATTGTTAATTTAAGAACTTATTTTCAAATGCAGACTGAGACATCTACTTTAAATCTCGTGATTTGCGTAGTAGATAATACAATACCCCTTAAACATAGTGAAAGAGAAATGCACTTAAATCACCTTTCTAAGAAAGACCTGCGTAAATGAAAACCTGAAAGACCTGAAAAAATGCGTACCTAAATGTGTAAAGTCAGCCAGACTCTGGCTGGTGTAAAGTCTGTCAAAAAATTGTTCTAGCAGGCTGGAATGCATCGAAAGGGACTCAAACTTATTGTCAAGGATCATAACTTCTGACGAAACATAGATTTTTTAATTTGAAAACTCGTAAGTCCTATATTAAGGACTATTTGGTCACAGTCATGGATGCTAGATTGAACGCCCTGTGACTTCTACCTGTTGTCTGAATTCAAATCCTGTGTCAAAGGAAACTGTCACGAGTTATTAGAGAACGTAAAACAAAAGTCGATGCAGCTACTCAACAGCCTGTCAGAAGATGATCTGCAGCACTGTTTCGTCCAGTGGAAGGTTCGTATGGAGAGATATAGGGATAGGCAAGGAGAGTATATTAAATAAGACTTCTCATTTTTGAAAAAATATGCTAACAATAGCCATTTTATTCCGACTGCTAGTTAAGCATATCATCTGCAGTATCATTTCTCGTTCCAAAATCATCTTTTTTTTATTGACTCATATTATTACATAAAAATAATATCTCGTAAGTTGATCTGCTAATCGATCGTAGAATGCTTTTCTTTTATACGCAATATTTGCACTTTTATACTCACTAAAAGTGCAAAGTTCATTGACGTTATCCTGTCATTCGTTTTTTACCACGCTCTTTCCTCTATCAGTATTATACCAATATCAGTCCAATATATCCCAATCTCCTACATATGCCAATGTAATATCCATTATCAGTATTATATCAGAACTTAATTTCTAGTGTTGTTTTGTCCTTTCTTTTTCGTTATTCGGATGCAAGAAATTTGTACTCCTAAGCGAGAGAATCCACCATCTTCCTACTCTTAAGTTTGTCAACCTTTCAAGATGTATTTTTTTGCCAATTCTGTTATATATTTACCTTTGGATTTCCCCTCCTAAAAAATTAGATTTATCTGGTTAAAATTTATCGGTATAATTACTGTTAGGTGTTCTATTAAAGACAAAATTGAAGATTAATGGCATTTTCGTTTCAAAATGTTAAGTACTTGCAGCATAAATAGAGACATTCTTAAAATAATTACGTATGTAGGATGTCGTAAACCGTCACTGTTTATTTTTTCTCCATATGGGGTGGGCTGTATAGAGTGACTCAGACGCGCAGCTGTCTACGACAAGCTACTTGATGATTATATGTAGAAAATAACCTGCGATATTATTGTGCATTTGTTATAACTATGCGGGGTGGCCGTTCTGAGCGACCCTGGGGTATCAGCAGCCGGGTGAGCATCGGTACTATTTATCGATCGTTGGGAGGACGTGACAAGCCTGGAATTGTTGGGCGAGCGTCGATATACCGGGTGTTCGTCATATTTTTACTATTAGCCGGAGCGTTTTACATCAAAATCGATATTTTAATATATTTATATTAAAAACAAAGAATAATGCTTGTTATAAGATCTAATATTAATAGAGGCGTACGGGGTTGTATAATAAAGACTATTCACTAAATAACAGGGCTTTAAGAGAAAATAACATTATAATTATTTCAAAAGAATGGATGAAGTAAAAGTATACGACTTTAAGGGAGATGAAGTATTCCAGAACCTAAAGCAGGTTTATTTTCGATCGTCGTTTTAAGGTTATGTTGCCTCATGTGCCTCATACACGTCCAGTGCCTGATTTTTATGGCATAATTTCTAACGTCTAACTCTTAAAACTCAGGTTTCGGGAAACCCAGAAAAAAACTCCTTTTTTAGGGATAAAATAGGATAAACGGATAAATAGGATAATGAGGTATTGCTTGTGATAAACCACCTTACGACAAGATGCGTTGTACGAGTTAGTTGAAATCAATCTGCCCGTACAGGTTTATCATCCTGTCTAGATCGAAATAATGTCTCTTTTTAGATTTATATAAAACTAAACAAAAAATATAAACTATGATAGAACAATAATTTTTACTTCATTCTTTTTCTCCTCTCAACATTATATTTACAATGTTTCTTTCATCCAGCCCGAAAAACATTCGCCTCTCGAAATCTCCCCTCTCATAATCTCCCCTCTCATTTGCTTATCATTATCAGTTAAAAATGTTTCAGGAGCGTCTTGTACCCCACAAACAGTGCAGTCTGCCGAGGCAGACTTGCCTATTCTGCGTAAATGCGTCAGGAAGTAGTCTAGTTTCTTGAACTTACATTCCCACCACGTTCTCTTTCCACTATCATTCGCCCATTCTCTCTGCCACTCTACTATCGTCATTTCTCTTCTTTTGATTCATAACTTTTGTAGAAGTCATCGTCATCACTCTTTTAAGTGGTTATTTTTATATTTTAACAGTCAACTGATTTTCCCATTTTTTTTTTAACTTTCGTATCGTATTCAAGTATACAATTACTTTGCATTGATTTTTCTTGATAGTTACTCTCCAAATAGAAATGGAATCCAAACCACTGTTATATTAGCTTGCATTTACTTGCTGTATCTTTTTTAATTAACATATTTTGTGGTGCATCTGCAACGTGTACATTTTGTAATTATTCTTTACGAACTGTCATTACTTTGCATATTCAACTTGCATTGGGATTGTTCTGCAAGTGAAATAAAAGTAATATTAGCTTCTTCAGTCATTTACTAACCTGCAGATCATATTATATGTTTAACCTGATGCAGCATACGTCATTTATGGTGAAGTTCGAGAAATTACGTGTTCGGCATTCGCTCAGCGAGGTGTTAGTTACTGCTAAGTTAGTAAATGATTCATGCTATTCAAATATATTTGCGCTAGATACTGTTTTATTGTCAGGATTTACTTAACCAATACCGCTAAAATGAGTTCTTTTTTCCTTACGAAACTTCACTATACTTGACGTTTGTTGTAGTTACAGTGTAAAAAAGAATAACTTTATGGCAGGTTTTAATTTTTACTTATTTATTTTCAGAAACCATGGACGACCAGCATTATTGCTTACGTTGGAACAATTACCAGAGTAATATGACGTCGGTATTTCATCAACTCTTACAGAATGAAGATTTCGTCGACGTTACTCTGGCCTGTAATGACCTTTCATTAAAAGCTCATAAGGTAAGAGATGAATGATCATATTCTTTTGTTAAAATACAATGATTATAACAAAATTAGATATACATACTTCTATTGTGGCTATATCTTATGTTCCAAGATTTCGTCTTGCTCAACTTTCAATGATTGTTCGGTATACGGTTCTACGGCAGAGTTTCTAGTTTGGTACGCGGTCTACCGTCTGATATGCAGTGTACCGAATTTTCGATATGCGGGAACATCACCTATCATCAAATACTGTTGAGACACTCATTAAAATTCTATATTTATATGTATCAGCAAAATAAAGTAACAAGTAGTTCAATGAAAATTTAATACTTTTATTGGCTTTTTAAAGTAAATTTATATGACAAGATTTAATTAGAGGCATTTATACATATACATTTCTAACATCATGAAGAAAAACGATAAACTTATCTTCTACATTCCACCCAAGATAATCCGAATGGGACTGCAAAGTACTGACAGGAACACCTCTCATTTTCTTCAAAATCGTAATTTTACCCTCCCAACTAGGATTTTTCTATCCCTTGCGTATGTGCTCCTGTTTGTGGGTCAACATAATTTTTCTGGTGGTTAACGGTTGAGTGCATGTAGCCCAATTGGTGCAAATTGCCGTATGCTGGCTATTCGACCGAGTGAATTACTAACCCAGCTTCAACTTCTAATTTGTTTGAGTTTGTCATAATTTCCCTAGTTTATTTTTGCATTCATAATTGACCGGTAATGAGTTTATAATAGTTTCTCTAATTTGTTTTTGTACCTATTTTAGGAAGAACGTAGACCGCATTCCGAGTCAGCTAAACTGCCGTAGATCGCATATTAGACGGTAGACCGTATACCGAACCGGCACCGATTGTTATTTGAACATTCATTTTTGATGTTTATGTTTTGTTTGAAAAAAAAAATAGGATACGTCAAACCTAGTTCGCCATCGTCAAATATGACATCCTAAATAATGGAAACTCTTGGAAGGCATGAAAATTTTCTGTTGCATCTATTCTAATAATCTTGGAGATAAAGTGATGGAAGCGATCCAGATTCTGCGAGGCGGTAGACAAGGATGTATACTTTCACCTATATTATACAACATTCATTGTCATATTATTCAGAGGAATTATTTAGTGAGGTCTTGGAAAATTGCGAACATAGAATCCTTTTAAATCAAGAACGCCTAAACAACATCCGCTATGCAGATGACACCTTTATTGTTGCAGACAGTTTACAGCAACTAATAAACAAAGTTAATGAAGTAAGTGAAAGATTTGGACTACAAGTAAACATATAACGTAAAACTAAATTTATGGTCATCAGCAAAGATATAATTAGAGACCTCCAACTGCTTATCAAGAATACACCAGTGGACCGAGTAAAACAGTTTACCTATTGGTATGAGCAATGGGATCACTCACAAGAAGTAAAATGTAGAATGGAGAAGGCTAGCAGTGCATTCGACAATATGGCCAAACTCTTTAAAAGCCATAACCTTAACCTGGAGATAAAAGTAAGGATCCTACGATGTTATATCTTCTCGATATTATACTAGGGAGTTGAATCTTGGATACTCACTGAAGCGATGGAGAAAAAACTAAGGATATCATGGACGGACAAGATACCCAACGAGACTGTACTAAGAGGAATGGGGAAAGAAAGAGAGGTGATGTATACCATTAAGAGGAGAAAGTTAGAATATCTAGGACATATAATGAGAAAAGGCACTAAATACAGATTACTGAAAATTACCCTTTAAGGTAAAGTATTCGGAAAGCGAGAAATTGGAATAAGAAGAATATCATGGTTAAAAAACCTGAGAAAATGGTTCTCTACAACAACAACTAATCTATTTAAAGCATCAGTTAATACAATAATTATAGCCAAAATGATCGCCAATATTCGAAATTAGTCTCTTAGGTGTAAGAACGTCTTATCTTAATGCAAATCTGAAACATGCGCTTGGCTGGGATAAATAAAACAGGATATTCGCTAATCATATTTATTATCGAGAAATGAATTTAAATTTTAATATTAAATAAAAAACAAAACAAATCCTGCCTAGAGCCGTACAGAAATTTAAAAATGATACTTATAGGATAGGTTACTACTACAGTTTGTATTCTATGGTCGACCATGTGCTTTGGGAAGTATCTGTGCGGTCCTTTCTGTCACGAGGCTCAAAAAGTTACAACTATATGGTTAGAGTATTTCCTACCAAAAGATGGACAGGAAAATTTATAAGACCAAAAAACTAAAACGAGAAATCTTCTGTTAGCGACTGCATAAAATTTCAATTTCCTTTTCAGAACATTAATAAATATATAAAAAAGCTAGACTAGGATTAAATGAATATAATATTTATTAAACCAATTAGTTAAATTACATTTAATGTTTTAGCTGCATATAGGATTAATTGTGGTTTTGAAAACAAAAAAATTTGTGGTTTTTTCCACAAAACTTCCACAGGTTTGAAACATTGAAAAATAAATGTGGTTTGTAGGTTAAATATAAAAACGAAGCCAAAAAGAATATTGGTCAAAATGTACCCACCCTAGAAATGTTTTAAAGTTGCAAACGGAGGGTGTACGGAGTTGCAAACTGACAAATATATTTTGTCGCTTGAAGTAGGGTATAAACACCATAGATAATTTTTGTCTATGGCATAGAATAGAATAGGTATAGAATCAAAATAGGTGAAATTAAGTTGAAAAATAAAGATTAAATATGATATTTAGTTGATAGAAGAGTTGAGCGCCACCTATTTTTAGAATAAAAATAGTAAAATAAAACAGAAAAGTGTTAACTTAGTTGAATAAAATCAACAGATCTGTAATAAAATAATTATTTAAAGAAAAATAAAAAATATGTGACGTTTATAACGTTACACCAACTTTTCTGGACATGGATTTTCTTATATCGATGACACCCTCAATTATTCTCGATTTTCCGGTATTCCTCTTTATGATATGATTGGTTATTTTGAGTAAAATTGAATATCGTTTTACGATTTTGGTTTAAGAACGAGCAGATTTAACATATTACAACTTAGCGACCTTACACACAGTATCCTTTAGTTACAGATCTATTGTGCTTCCCTTTGTCACTTAAAGCTGCTCACCCAGGCCTATTCTCTTTATAAGCTTTGACAACTCTGAGAGAGATCCTTCCATATAGACTGATGTTTTGGTTTTTCTTTGACGAGTTCTAGATACCGCAGCCTTTTGAGGCGTTCACACTGATATAAGACGGGCAGAGCGGTTTCGTCTTTTTCTAGACAGAACCGACAAGTATCTTTTCCGTCAAGCCCATCCGACTCAAAACCATTTTGAGCCTACAATGTCCAGTTAGCAGCCCAACTATAATCCTGACACTCTTTCGATTTTGGGTTAGTAAGTCGGTTGTGAATTTGGCTGAATGGCCCTTTATGAACTCTAGCTTTTCTTCGTAAGGGTGTATTTCTCCTTCATTTAAGACTTTTCTTGCACCCATTTATCAATGAGTTCTGTGTATATTTGCAAGTCAATTAAAGTCGCGAAAGCGCCTTCTCAGCCTAGCGTATCAGCCTTTTCTTCACGTAAGTACCCTTGGTCCTCTGGACCCCAGACTAGTGTCAATCTATTCCAAATTTTAACCAGAGAGAGTGTACCCAAACAGTTCCACGCAAGTTTTGAATCAACCTATATAGATATATAGTAGATACCTGTCTAGAACATTTAGGGCTACTTGACTATTGGAGTAGATCACGATTGAGTTATTTTCCACTTGCAGACATATTACTTCCATAGCACATATTGGGAACGTGCATACAAGATTGAGATTGTTAAATAGCGTGTTAAATACATAGCCTCTCAGCATTCTTAATCGTAGGGGGATGCTTATATTTCTGTTGCAGAAGAATTTTCTCATCTTTATGAAGGTGGCCCTGGCAATTTCGATACGTCTTTTTATTTCACTGGTTTGGTCTCCAGTTTCGTTTATTAAAGTTCCCAAGTATTTGTAACTTGATACTTTTTCAACTTGAGTGCCGTTTATACTAATATACGCTGGTTGTGTCATGTTTTTACTGAAGACCATATACTTGGTTTTTTTAATATTGATATTTATACCATAATTGTTGCAAGCATATTTATGTCTGTAAGTAATCTTTGTAATTATTCTACTGTTCTTGCAACTAGTACAGTGTCGTCCGCGTATCGAATATTATTTACAATCTCTCCATTAATTACGATTCCTCCGTTTGCTTGTAAAAGGGCTTCCTGACAGATGCTTTCACTATATACATTAAATAACAGAGGTGACAAAATGCAACCCTGTAGTACTCCTCTACGTATTTCTATTGCTTCTGATGTTTCAGTTTCTATTTTGATGTTAGCTTTCTGATTCCAATATAGATTGAGAATTATTCGCAGATCTTTATTATCTATGTCCTTCCTTTCAAGAATCTCTCTAAGCTTATCATGGCGTACTCTGTCAAACGCTTTTTCAAAATCGATAAAACACGTATGTACCTCCTGATTAACGTCTAGGCATCTTTGTGTGAGAACATTCAAACCGAAGAGAGCTTCTCGAGCACCAAGCCCTTTTCTGAACCCCATCTGTGTATTACTAATATCTGACTCCAACTTTTGATAAACTCGGTTGTGGATGATTTTTAGAAATATCTTTAGTAGGTGGCTCATTAAAGATATTGTTCGATGTTCCGAACATTCTTTAGCATTAGATTTCTTTGGCAGTGTAACGAATGTAGACAACAGCCACTCTTGAGGTATAATGCCAGTATTGTATATTGTATTAAATAAGTGCAATATTATACCTATTGATTCATCATTCAAGAGCTTAAGAAATTCGGTAGGAACCTCATCCGGTCCATTTGCCTTCCCAGTTTTGGAATTTTTAAGTGCCATTTCTACTTCACATTTTAGAATTTCAGGTCCCGTTTCGCCATATATCAGAACAATGTTATTTCTGTTGTCCTCAAATAATTCTCTTATGTATTCACTCCATCTATTAATTTTCTCTGTTAAATCTATAATAATCTTTTCATCTTTCTTGTTAAGCAAACTTATTTGACGTCTTCTTTGGGTTCCTGTAATTTCTCTTACTTTTTTATGTATATTGAACGTGTCATACTTTCTTTCATAGTTTTCCATTTCTACACATTGTTCTGTAATCCATGATTCTTTGGCATTTCTTATTCTTTGCTTTATGTTCTTATCAACCTCTTTGTATTTTTCTGCATTATTCTTCATTTTACGTCTTTCATCCATTAGTTCTAGAATGTCTGGTGTCATCCACACCTTATGTTTCTTTGCAGATTTGGTTAGGTGTTTCTTTCCCGTAGTTCTTATTATAGTATTTATATACTTAAGTTTTTTCATCTATGTTGTCTGTTCTGCGGATTGGCTTTCTGCTACACTGAGGCTGGTGTTTATTTCTTCTCGCACTGTTTGTCGTAGATGTTCATTTTTAAGCTGGCTTTTAAGTCTAATGCTGGAATGATGGCTTTTCTTATTTTCTTTGGTCTAGCTTCTATCACAGATACTACTGGATTATGATCCGAACCGATATCAGCTCCAGGGAAAGTTTTAGGAGATTTTACGGCATTACGTATCTTTTTGTCACCAATATGTAATCTATTTGGTTTCTGACCACTTTTTCTTGTGTATGTTGAGGTGACGTCCACGTATATAGTCGCCTGGAGGTAGTTTAAAGAATGTATTAGTTATTATTAAATCTTCGCTTTGACAAAACTGAACTAAACGATCACCCCTTTCATTTCTATTACCTAAGCCATATTCACCGACATTTTCTCCAACTTTACCCTGACCTACCTTGGCGTTCAGATCGCCCATTACTATGTTAATGTGTTGTCTCTTTGTTGTTCTCATCACCTCTTCTAAGATATTATAGAATTGTTCTGTTTCCTCTTCGTCTTTGTCTGCTGCAGGAGCGTACACTTGTATGATGTTTATCACGTTCTTCTTATCTTTTAATTGTATTAACATCACGCGCTCTGAGAATGGAGTAAAGTTTACTACAGCATCTTTCCATTTTTTTGAGATGATGACTCCTACTCCGTATCGATGTGTTTTGGTGTCACTTCCGGCATAATAAAACATACCATGATTATTTGTGGGACATTTACCGTTTCCTGGCCATTGTGTATCGCTCATGCCTAATATGTGTGTACCCAAACGATCCATTTCCAACACGACGTTATCTAATTTTCCCGAAGAGAATAAGCTCCTTACATTACATGTAGCAATTTTTATGGTTGTCTTTTTCTTTTTACAAGGGTTTCGCTGGTTTACGACCGAGAAAGCCTTGTAATATATATATATATATATATATATATATATATATATATATATATATATATATATATATATATATAATTTAGATAAACAGAATAAATACCGTAAATAAACCAAAACTACAATACATTTTCCATATATAACAGGTTTATCCGAACAACTAATGAATGCTTTAGCAAAACATAACAGTTGCTCACAAAGGCAGATTTTACACCTTTTAAATAAATGTTTCACCAAACTAAAAACACATCTCCAAATCTCAAAAAATCCCATGTTGTTTACGAGATACCATGTATTAACTGTAAAAGTGTCTACATTGGGCAAGCCAGTGAACTGCTTCAATCCAGAATTTGTTCTCACAAATATGACAAGAACAACACATCACTGTTAAATAATAAGAAATATAACACCATAATCTTAAAGTTATATTATATCTCTTTATCTACTTTACCTTTTTCGAAAACCCAACGATACGCCCATATAAAAATAATTATATATTAATGACAGTAAACCATGAGATACCAGATATAAATTTTTACTTCTGTCAATTCATTTAGGTCAGTGGCCCGTTTTACGTTTTGGTAAGTTTTTTATATAATTTACAATAAGTTTTTGTTCCTAATCTTGTACATTTTAGAATCTTGACAAAGGCAAGGGTTTCCTGCCAAAACATTGATTTCAATGACACAATAAAATCTAGTCCCAAATTAAAAATTGGAACGGAATTAAACGCAAGAAATACTAAGTTTATATTAAATATAGTATGGTCCAATCAAGAAACTCCATATATATATATATATATATATATAATATATATATATATATATATATATATATATATATATATATGTATATGTATATTGTATAAAATACGACCGTCAATTTATATTAATAAAGTATTCAACTAGTGAAATCCAGAGGTTTATTCGGTCAGTCAGGTTGGCAAAATAAAAAACAGAAGTCAACTACTTCATAAGTTTATAGAAGACGTTTCGCTTTATACTTCTAAAGCTTCATCAGTTCTCTAAAATACAAAAATGACATAGAGTTTATAAGAAATACAGATCTAATAATTTATTACTTACAACTCAATATGTAGTATTAAAGATGTTATTGTATATGTAGTTAAGTTTAGTCATAAATTTAGAACTAACTTAAAAAAAATTTAACAGGAACATGCAAAAAATAGTATTCGCAGAAACGAAGATTTACAAAAACTTTAAACGTACATTTGGCTTCATTTAGAGATGGTTCTCCAATGAAGACAAACAAAACACTGATTTATTTTGTTTGTCTGTAAGTGATATATACAATTTTCTATTAATGATTAATCTTTTTAATCTTGTAAATATGCGAAAATGTCAATTTTTGAATTTATAATGTTCAGATAGGTATATTTACTTTATATACAGATATTTACTTTATATCGAACCGTAAAAATTTTAAAATAAAAACAAAAAGATAGAGAAATAAAACATGTTCAAGCCATTTTGTACTACCTAAATAAACGTTTTAGCCCGAAAAACCTGTAATATATTGGTTAAGTACTTCCAAGACTCAACGAAGACAAACAAAGGAAAAAACCGTTAAACTTTACCCGCCCATTGTCCCCCCATTAAGTTTCAACGTGTTTTTCTTTTCCAGGTAGTGCTATCGGCATGCTCGTCGTATTTCCAAAAGCTTCTTTTAGAAAACCCCTGCAAGCACCCGACGATCATAATGCCTCAGGATGTCGGTTACGAAGATCTGAAATTCATCATCGAGTTCGTTTACAAGGGGGAAATCGACGTATCTCATGCGGAACTTCAGGTAGGTTCTTGTTACATTGTCGTTCACAAAGAATGTATAAGTGGGCAGGTAAGAAACGTTAAGGAAATGCCCGAAAAAGAAAAAAACATTAATGTCGTCTTGCCGTTACTTTATCATTAAAAACACGTACCAATGGAAATACTTAAAAACCATTTTGTTTATAGTACCTAGGTATTCACCGAAAATACAAATACATTCATGTTTTAGTTGCTACGTGAATTTTAGTATAAATTATTGTTTTCATCATTAGAAATAGATTTTAAATAAAACTAACACCTTACTGCAAGAGTTCTCGATACTCAGTCACCATCACAAATTAACAGTTAACAGAATTTTTTATCTATTTTTGTGATGTTTTCAAATGTATCTTCTTCAGTTATTGCTGTTAGAACTGATGAATTTTAATAATATTTTTAAAAATATATATTATGATATTAAAAGCATAAAAGGGTTGAATGTACAACAAATTTGTTTCAACAAATACTAAAGTACCCTTAAGTTAATTTTTGTTTCAATACTGAATTTTTTTTTTAACAAAAAAAATTCAGTATTGAAAGAAAACCATTGGTTAAAACAAACTGTAACTCTACAGTTCATAGTCAAAATGATATATTGGCAATGTCTTCAGGTCTATCTTTATATTTTGTATATCAGAATAACTTAAATATTATAACCCTGCATAATGCATATAATGCATAATATTAAACAATAATTTTATAAATGAAACCGAAACTACCCGATTATTTAGTAAAGTATAAAATTTGTAGCTTTTCTTCTCCTAATTACTTGATAAAACGGTCATCACTCTTAGATTCTGCAACCTAGTTTTATCAATTGAAAATCAGTAATGTTGAATGTAGCTTTGCTTTTATGTCGATATGTTTGCAGCTTGTTACATGAAAGTATTTAATCACGTATTAGCGGGACCTGATCTAATCAAAAAGTTACCTTAGCTAGTTTATCCTTTTATTGAAGATGTTTCGTATATTAATTCATATACATCATCAGTTCATCTACAAATTAATTAAATAAGCAAACATCCATAGGGACAAAAAAAATTGCACATGGTTTACCTTACAAAAGATATGCATCATATTAAGGTGCATTTAGACGGGCTAGTTTTTAAAGCAATATGTTGCCAAAAATATATATTCGGTATGTTGCTGGCAACATTGCAGCCATTTAATGAAAATGTCGCTCTATGGCCGAGACATGTGGCCGAAATCTTGCTGGTATTTGAACACTATTGCAGTTAGTGGCTTACAGTGTAAAATATTGCATTTTGCTCGGCTACTCTGTAGAAATTTAATTTAGTTTTGACAAAACAAACGAATAAAAAATTAATACGTGGTCAAATGAAGACACAATAAGTTTTAATAATGCAGTACATTTACATCCAGAGTTGTGGGATTTAGAAAATACATCATACAAATACAGAAATGCAAAGAAAGATTTTTGGACGGCCATTGCACAAGAATTCAATGTAACACAGGACGAAGCTTCTAAAAAATTCAGAAGTTTAAGGACATTCGAAAACTGTAAACAAAAAAAGGTAATTCAAAAGAAAAGTGAAAGTCAAGGTGACAAAATTGTACATTGGTTTGCGTATGAAGCTTCTTCTTCTTCCTTCTTGTATGTAGGCTTTAAAGCCTTTTTCTTCTTTGATATTAGCCTCCTAAATTGTTTAAATTATCGCACCATCTTTTTCTTGGTGTGACAATACTTCTTCGTCCATTTGGTGACTTATCTCATTCTATTAGTACTATCATATCCTCTGCCATTCTACTAATGTGTTCGTTCCACTCCTGTTTCCGTTTCCAACAAATGTATTGAAATAGAAGAACTACAGAAAAAGAATGAAACGTTTAATATGTACAAAAAGGTGCAAGAAATAACTGGACTATATAGGTCAACTTCAAATAGTTTATTTGATAAACAAGGAAATATCATAGTCAATAAACAAGACAAACTGGAGAGGTGGAGGAAATATATTGAGGAACTGTTTGATGAGGAAAGAACAGAATTACAAATCAAAATAATATAGAACAATACACACTGGAGAGGCAGAGGAAATTTATTGAGTAACTGTTTGATGATGAGAGAACAGAAATACAAATCGAAAATATATCGACTTGTCCAAACATAGCCTTCGATGAAATGAAAAGAGCTATACAACTATCAAAGTATAGGAAAGCAACCGGTCCAGATGAAATTCCCAGCGAAATAATCAAACTACTCGGCAATAAAGGCAAGCATCTTTTAAACATCTTAAATAAAATATACCAAACAGAACATATACCTATAGACTAGCTCTGTCAACATTTAAAATGATACTGAAAAAAAAAAAATAAACGCTAAACAATGTAGCGTTCATTGCCTTATGGGTCTTGAAACAGGTGGGAATTGAAGACCAAGACCTTCGTATTATCAAAAATTTGTGTTGGTATCAAAGTGCAAACATACAAACTGGTCAGAATACGATGGAAACAGTGGAAATATGACGTGGAGTGAGGCAGGAGTGTGTTTTATCGCCTCTACTTTTTAATATCTACTCCGAATTTATTTTCAAAGAATCCTTAGATGGAGATGCAGGTATTAAAATTGTAGCAACACGAACGCTGGAGATGTTTGAGGCACACAAAATTAACTAGGCCGCGTTGCTCATAATCGGAAAAGATGTGGGCGTGCTTCTTTAGATATTTCCTATATTATAGAAGTTTTCGAATCGTCACAAAATCAACGGGATTAATATCATAACAACGATACGCAGACGAGACGGTACTGATTGCAGCCAATTAAAAATAGTTGCAACTACTTATAAATAGGGTGACCGAAACTTGTATTGAATACGGGCTAAAGCTTGACACTTCTATGACAAAACTTATGGTTATCAGCTAAACATAGTTACAACCAATGAACATCCGAGCGTATGCAATAGAGTTAGAAATAATCCACAGTATCACCTCTTTGAAGCTAATTTTAGCAATAACTGGAGTATAAGCAAAAAAATAAAATTTCGCATTGAAAAAGCCAGAGCTGCCTTGTATAAACAAACGAAAATTCTGATTAATAGAGATTACATTAAACTTTAAAATCAGATTAATACGCTGTTACATATTCTCCATATTGCTGTATAGCATAGAGAGCTGGTCTCTTACAGGAACACTAATAAAAAACTTGAGGCCTTTGATATGTCGATTTACCGACAAATATAGCGGATAAGGTGGATTGATCGAATAACAATTGAAATAGTTTAACACCGATTGAAAAAGAGCACAGAAATAACAAAAACAATAAAAATTCGAAAGGTACAATATTTCGGCCATGAAATGAGACATCCAGAGAGGTATAACCTTCTACACCTCATAATACAAGGTAGGATCGCCGGAAGAAGAGGCCCATGCTGAAGAAGAACATCCTGGCTTCGAAATCTCGGAGAGTGGTATCAAGAGACATCCGTTAATTTGTTTCGGGTTGCCGTAAACAAAGTTTTTATTGCCAATATGATCGCCAACGTTCAATAATCGGATATGGTACTAAAAGAAGAAAGAAAGAAGAAAAAACTATTGATTCTAATGAATAAATCACACTAGTTACTCTGTGGTTCTCTACGCTCTACAAATTAAAAGCTATGTAAATGGAATTAATAGTATATATTTTAATAAGTATGTAACACATTTCCAAACACTATCTTTTAGTGAAATTTCTTTCATTGCAAAGAATTTTAACCTTTTCATAATTGACCTTATGTTTAGAAGTGATTGCATGTGCCAGAGCACAACAGTATGCTTACATAAGTTAATATTACTACGGTGGGAAGTTAATATACCCCTAAGTGAGTGCTCTGTCTGACCTATGTAATAAAAATTACTTCAGCGCACGAAATGTGGTAAACAATAGAGAGGTCAAAGGTGTGTTGATTTTGGAAAATTTCTGACAATTTTTGCGGTTTTTATTGCTATTTTGACTTGTGATATTTCTGGTTAGTTAAGTTTGTTTCTAACTTTGGGAAGTATGGTAAGGAAGAATAATGAGATATTGACGAAGTCAAAGTAGTCTCATGTATTGTAGTCTGCAGAACTGTATTATTAACAGTGGTATTTGAGATTGATCTTGATTGGTCAACTTTGGGTAAATCATTAATTATGGAACCAGAACTTCTCGAGAAAAGATATTTATTAATTAAGGAAGAAGTATAGAAATTTTTTAACAAGAATACTGCTAAGTAAAAGAAGATATTCCTTTCGATTAACCACATGTGATAACCTGTGTAGCCTAAAATGAAGGGCTTGGATAAGGTTGATTTTATATTTAAGTAAATGAAAACAATGGTAATTAAGAAACCTATTGGAAGCCATAGGTTTTATATACCAACTTGTAACCAAGGTGTTATCTGCCTTCCTGAAAACACGCATCTCCTAAAACGGTATGCTCATCGTGGTGAAATCTTCTAACATCTCTCCTATTTTCTTCTTCGCCTAATTAAGAAGTTAATTGTAAATGAGGATCAAAATCGTTGAACACTGACAGGGTGGCCCATGCCCTATCCAGTGGTAATGCTAGAATTAGGTCATCCTCATCATCATCATCATTGGTGCTACAGCCCTATAAAAGAGTCTCGACCTTCCCAAGTCTATTACGCCTGTCAGTTCTATCCATTGCCAACGGTTGCCTGTTTGCTGCGCCTATTTTTCTACCATCCTCATCTACACCATCCCTCCATCTGATTTTAGGCCTACCCCTACTTCTATTTCCCACAGGTTGTGACATAAGGATTCTTCTAGGAGGGTTGTTCTGCTGTGATCTTGCCAGATGTCCTGCCCATCTTAGTCTTCCTATTTTTATCCTCATAGCGGTTAATAAAAGTATTGTTGGTTCCGTCTTTACTAAATTTTTGCTCCAAGATAACTAAAGTTTTCACATCTCCTTATTCTGTTGTTTTCTCTTAAATTTAATTCGGTTGTTTTCTCCTATATTCAGATATTTTGTTTTAGTCAGAT